ATCTTTTTTAAAGGGTTTTCATAGTCCACAATCATCTGACCAAGGCGTGGATATTCTCGGTCACTTAAAATACACACATCAAATTCAAATGAGTTGTAAGGCTCTGAGAAGTTCAGAAGCATTCTGTGTGATGTCTGCCTACCTTGCTCCATGGGTCATTTCATGTGCATAATTGTACAGTCCAATGATTGCTTTCCTTTCTTCAATCCGGGACAGCAGTATCATTAATGTTGTATAGGTTACAGTCAAGTCTAAGTAGTTCTTTGTTAAATCAAAGTTCACAGTCTAAAAAACAAAATCAAGTTTGTTTCCTTCTTTCCAGACTCTGAAACATATAAAACTCTGCATACTTTGTTTATCCCCAATAATGGGTTTCTAATTTTTTTTCTAAAGCTGTAAAATTTGGGAATTTCAGAAAAAAGGAAAAGGACTTTGGCTACTATATTTAAGCCGGGAATAACTGAAAGGAAGAAAACCAAAGAAGCATTGATACCCATCTTACCAAAGCAAAAAGCAGTATCTAAAGTTTTACTATTAACTAAATGGATACATTTCTCACCTTGACTTCTTATATCTATACAATGTCATACAAAGGAAACTCTCTCGAGTATGACTTTAAAGGAAAATATTGTCCAGTGTTTATAGTTAGGTACATTAAGATAAAAAACTAAAATTAACAGCTATTTTACAACACACAAAAATATATGCTGATATATGCCTTTTTACTTTTAAAAAAAGTTATTCAGCAAGCCAAATAAACAATGTTAAAACTTTATACTGCTACTTCTAAAAGAAAATGACTTTTCTTTCTCTAAAGAAAGCAATTGGTTCCCTGAGTTCTTTGGGAAGAGAGAATTAGGAAATTTTCCCAAAAAATGGTACTCACAATGTCAAAGAAGACTTGGCAAACATCAATGGTATTCAGCAAGTCACAGACGTGGTCCTGAAAAGAAAAGCTTAACTCAGCGGAGGAAGTGCTGAGGACAAAAGCCAGGATTCTGCATGCTTAGCAAGCATTCATCTTCAGCACTGAATAAATAACTTTTAATTCAGAGAACACAAATGGATAAAGTATACTTTAGACTTTGGTTCTGAAATTCTTCTTTTACCACATAATTAACAAAGCAATTTATGCAATTAGCAAATTGTAAATCAATTTTTGTAATCTTAAAGTTTACATATTAATAAAATACATACCTTAAATTCCATAACATCTACAAATGTAAAGTAATATAATGCCAGATTTTTCAGAATCTCTGATTTTTCTTTCTGTAGCTGTGCAAGCTGTTGCTGTAAAAAAAAAAAATGAGAGTTTATTTTCAGACAGAAGTATAAGTTCCATTGTATACTATCGTTTGTATGATTGCTATATGGAAGCACAAGTTTTTCGACTTCTAAATGATTAAGGTTTTTTCAAACCCAATCACTTGAGAGAGCAACTGCTCAAGCAGCTTACAGTGGGAGGCCATAAAACAGACTGAGGCGGATTAGTACCAAACTGCACTACAGCGGAAAACTGAAAAATGTTAGAGGAGAGAATACATCAAATGAACTCTTTTAAAAAACTTAAAAACAAATCATGACTATGTTCACTAGAAGTAGGAGAAAAGAAGATGAAAAACAGCTTACACTACAAAAAACAATATGCTAGATAGATTTGGAACTTACCAAAAAGAACATCCAGGCAAAGCCACGTTACGCATGCAAAATAAAATGTAGATACAAACATAAAATACAGTAACGGTTTCCTGATCAGACCCACAGAACACAATAATATATCAAACAAAAGAAAAAAAATCACAAGAACAAAAAAGAAATGAAACAAAGCAAGACTAGAGTTTAGACATGAGTGAAGGAAATATGAAAAAAAGGTATTCCGTTCAGTTAAATTACTGAACTTACAAACACTGTCTTTTATTAAAATCAATGATTACCATCATTTTTGGAAGACTAGTCCTTTCTGATGCTTATTTAACAAGGTGCCCAGGATTCCAGGGAACCATCCAGATCCTGGATTGTGTCTGCATATTTTCTAATGAACATCAGTTAAGGCCTCAGTAGAAAGGTGGGCTCTCTGGCTCACCTCAGGCCTGCTGAGTAAGACCTAAGGCCTCTTAAACAACATAGCCCAGGTGATCTAAATACACATGAAGGGTCTGAGAAGCACTCAGGATATGAGAACACTAGAAAATACAAGAAAGCATTTAAAAGTACCCAACATGCTGCCAGAGTCCACACAATTTTGAGGTCCTCATAAGGTCATATATACTTACATGTGAGCATTGGAAAAGAGGTGCCTGCCTATACGCGACTATAATGAGCTCTTTTGTTAAATCAGAACATTTACAAATGTGAGCCTAACATCAGGAGAAGGTTCTTCAGGAAAAGCAAACTGAAAACAGCAAGCAGTCTGGCACACCTCCCTGAATGCCTCTGAGTAAGGAACTTAAAGAAGGAATTCTGTCTGGAAAGCAGAAGAACTACAATCTCATTTCTCCCCATAAATGTGGGAGAAGTTAAGTATGCACATGCAGGGATGTGTGTGCAGCTTCCTCTGAGAATAATCAACTATTTTATATAATATATCAGTTTTAACACAATTCCCTGTTTCTCCTCTGTGTTATTAATCACTACTATTCCAGAATTATCAGTGAACAACTACTTAAACATGATCCCTTGTCCTCGGATTATACCTATACCTTGCTCAATAATTTTATTAAACACTTCTGACTGATTATCATGATTCTTTTCTGGCATTTAGTTCTATAAATTTGAGTCCCAATATTCAAGAGGAAAAAGTAGGCTCAGAAAATAAGATATGATCCACGTGGAAGTACACATCTTTAATCCAGCACTTGGCAGGCAGAGACAGGCAGAGACAGGCAGAGACAGGCAGATCATGAGTTTGAGGCTAGCCTGGTCTACAAATCAAGTTCCAAGACAGCCAAGGCTATTATACAGAAAAACCCTGTTTCCCCCACTCCAACCCTAAAAAATATAAAAAGCATGATGGCATCTGCCTTTAATCCCAGCACTCAGAGGCAGAGGCATCTCTGTAAGTTCGAGGCCAGCCTGGTCTATATATTGAGTTCCAGGACAGTGAAATCTATATAGATTCCCAAAAAACAAACAAACAAGACAGTATGAGGAAAATAATATGGTTACTATGTGACATCTTAATCCTAACGAATTTCAACGGCACTAAGGTAATCATGAACAGTGCTTTCCTTGCCCTCAGCATCCTAGTTTGCAGTTAATGACCATCACACCCTTATAAACACCAACGATCTTTTACACAGACCTTCATTTCATATAGCAAGAATGTAACGTTTATAAGAGGATGTGCTAACTACAAAAACCAAAACAAATGTTGCAAAGTTAAACACTTAGTACCATCCAAGATCAGAAATCTCAATTTCTTCTCAAATGTATTCTATTCTTGCCTGCTATTTCCCTTGTCAATAATAAAATCCCCTTAGTCTAAATTTCTCCTTTAACTGTATCAGCTACAGGGACTACGTGGCAAGTTCCACATGAGTTTTTAATGCTCTCTACAGTCTGGTCCCTTTCTTTTTCCAGACTCATCCCCACTACGTTCATCCGTAGACTACAACAAACAAACTGCCATTTTCTATGCGAAGTTCATGATTTCTTTGTTTCCCTACAGGGGTATCAAAATCTCACCACTTACATCCAAATCCCAGTACTCTAAACACTCAGCTTAAATACTAACCCCATTTTCAGGAACCATCCTTGACTAACTCCCTCCTGACGGCAGCCAGTGTTTTCTAGTCCAGCTTGTCACTGCCATCTCCTACAGCACAGACAGTGTAGAAGACTCAGGGTGTTATTCTATCTAGTACTTAACAACTCTGAAGTACAAGTTAAGCATCCAATCCAAATGTATTATTAAATAAAGGATCATAATACAGACTATCAGCGGACATTATTTGGGAAGAAATGCTCTTAGAAAGTCCCTCTCCAACTGTGATACAAAAAGGGTAAGTAACTTAAAGTCTAGCACTTAAGTAAGTAAGTAAGTAAGTAAGTAACTTAAAGTCTAGTCTCAAAGTCTAGCCCTTCCATCATCACTGGGGAACACATTTATACAATTACCCAAAGCAATGGATAAACTGGCACATGACCACACTGACTAGTGGCCAACACCTAGAAACTACACATTACATGTCAGGAGACTAATCATGGAGGCTACAGACCACCTCTCCAAATAAGCAAAACGAAATTATTTTGTAAGTAATCCTAACACCATTGATAGTACTTGCAGTAAACAAATATTTGCTGAGTATGCATTGTGTGTCTGACATTATTCCTAACATTTTATAAAGATCACACAATTTCTACCTAATAGTAAAAATTATGTTCCATATTCTAGTGAAAATAAGCTTCATAAAACTATGCATGAGAGATGTCAACTATTACAATTCTCAGGCTTTAACTACAAGGAAAAAAAGGAAAGAACAGTATTTTTCAAAGTGAATGACACACCTAAAAACCATTAATGACAGGTTCAAACTCAGATGATTTAAAATATACATAGGTAATAATTACTGATAATGTTGTACGGCAGAACATTAGAGAGGCAGTATTTTGAAAACCATGTATTCAACAATTTTAAAGCATGATCCTATAATATATGAAAATATTTTAGCAAAACATTTCTATAATTGTTTACATTTTCTGGCTTGAAGCCTTTATTCTTAACATTAAAATAAGATATGCAAAAACTGAAGAAAATAAGTCATACCTTAAGTCAGGGAAATTGTGCACCTTTAAACTGAAATATTTTATTGATTAATCTTGCTTACTTCAATTAATAAGATTTTTTAGAAAGACAAAATTAAATGGAATTGAAATTTAGCATTTCCTACTTTTTGTTTTGTTCTAAGAAAGGCAAATTACTGAAGGAACTAACACTTAGCAGGGCTAACTCACTAATCTCTAACAAAAGAAACATGGCTACAGGGTTCAGTATAGTTATCATGCTCACTTCAGCAGCACATATGCTAAAATGGAACGATACAGAGATTAGCATGACCCCTGCACAAGGATGATATACAAATTCAGAAGCACTCTATAATTTTTAACATGGTTTTGTTTTTCCTTACTGCTACTTAAAATTCCACTGTGTGCATGCACCAAATTTTTACATTCATTGAACTATGAATGGGCATCTAGGTTGATTCCACTTCTCTGTTATTGTGAATAATGCAAGAGTAAAAAGACTGACGTGCAGGTGTCACTGTAGTAGGATACGGTGTCCACTGCGTATCTGCCTGAGTAGTAGAGCTGGACCCACAGCAATTCTCCTTGAGCGTTCTGAGGACCCTCCCCACTGAATTCCACAGTGGCCGAGCCATCTCACCTTCCCATCGACAGTAAGTTGCTTTCTCCGCATCCTTGCCAGCATTTCTTCTCCTTTGTTTCCTTTTTAAAAACTCATTATTTCCCTTTCTTCCCTTCCTTTCTTCATGCTTTTTCTTTCCACACATATACAGTGCATTTAAGAGAGCATGAGAGTGGGGAGAAGTTCTGTGAAGCACTGTGTCCCGAGCATTCCATGGCCATTGCACTCACCAACTCATTTTCTTTCTTAATGAGAGCCATCCTGACATGGTTAAGATCAAATCTCAAGGTAGCTTTTTTGATGTCAGTAGGTCTTCTAAGATGAAATGGCATCTAAAAGTAGTTTTAATTTACATTTCTCTGATGGCTAAAAATATTGAACACTTAAAAAACTAATTATTTGTGGTTCTTTTGAGAACTGTTTAGTTCATTAACTGAAGTGGAAAATTTCTGGCTTCTTTGGAAACTCAGTTATGTCAAATGTTTTGCTGAAGCAGACATAGGTGAAAGAGTGATTTGCTGAAGCAGGCATGTGAGAAGATGGGTGATGTTCAGAAAGAATATAAATGTGACTCCACAGGTAGAGGGAGGAGGCTCTGGCACTGGTTCCCCTTGCACCACATTGCTGAGCTTCGTTTGTTGTGACTTGGTAGAGAACTTCTCGTGATATTCCGGTGGCTTTTTGCAGCTTCTCAGACTCAGGCTGACTGGCAGAGCCTCAGCGTTTCTTCTGGATCAAAGTGCTTTGTGGATTTGTGAGTGGTGTTGGAGTTTTCTAAAGGATTGGATTGCTGACAACAAAGATTTGAATAGCCCCAAAGAACTATTTCTAAACAGGTCCACACGCCCCATTTCCTATTAGCCTTTTCCACCCACCGCTGGGTGGTGGGCTAGAAGGCAGGTTGAAGCACTTAAGAACCCTTATTAAAGTAGGTTTTAAAAAAATCCAACTCAAGAATTAACCAATTACTGATTGGAAGATTTTTGATGGCTTTTTAATGAAATTCTTTATATTAATCCCCATATGAACCATAGCTGCCAAAGATTATCTACCATTTTGCAGCTTGTCTCTTCACTCTGCTCTTCAATTTTGTGAAGTCAAATTTGGAATTTCTCGGGTTATTTCCTGTACTACTCAGTTCCTTTCAGAAGGTTCCTGTCCATACCTATACTTTTTTCTTGTATATTATCATTTAATTCAGTTTCCTATTTTGATGAGCCAGAGAATTAGAGCAATTTAAACATGTAATGCCAAAGTACATATTTCACAGGCAGCTTTATGGACATAGATATAGCTCGTTGGTAGAATAATTGCCTAACATGTGCTGGTCACTGAGCTCAACACCTGACACAAGAATGAACACAGGAAAGACTGCAGGAAGAAAGAAGGAAGAAAGGTAGTTGGAAGGAGAGAAAGAAGAAATGGAGGAGAGGAAGAGCGATACAGAGTGACAAGAAAAGAAAGAAAAATGATAGCATCAACTGTATACTATTGTGTTCGTATCAGACATCATAGGAGAAGCTGAACAACAACAACAAAAAAAAACCCTATGAGCAAAGCCTTTAAATGAGGCATCAATTATACTGAGGGATGAACATTCACAGACGTAAGACACTCTCATGCTTGTTGCTGAAGGTAAATGATACAGTTTAAAGTCAGTTCCACAACTATTCTCAGGAGAAGTCAAATATGGTGGGGAAACTACAGTTCCACATTTGCTTGAAGCCACAATGACTCACCAACTGGTAATCAGAGTCCTGAGGACAGTGAGACTGGTGGATTAAGTTAAAGATGGCCTAGAAGTGAGGTCACCCACGGATTATCTGGGGTATATATTCACAGGAGAAAATGATAGTTCCTTCATTGGCAAGTCAAAAATCAAAAAGCCTACAGTAAGAAAATATACATTTGCCAACCTGGCCATAATCTAAGATCACGCTCATCGACAGTAACTGAGTTAAGGCATGACTACAGATTCTATTGTTGAGCTGCTTCTCCTGCTTTCCTCAATGACTGATGCACTTTCTAAGCCTCTTTGGTTCTCAGCTTACCCCTAGCCTGAGTTCTAGATTTGTGGCCTGAGTACTACAATTTGTTGCTCAGTGCATTTCTAATGGGCCTCTCAAGTCTAACACGTGAAGTTGTTATATACAAACTCCCCTGCATCCATACTTCTTTTGATTCCTTACCCCAGTAAATATTGATTGTTTAAAACCGTCAGGTCTTCTTTCTTGCTGTCATTTAAAGATAATACTATTGCCTGAGTTATTTTTCACTATACTGAAATTCTTTTAGTTTCTCAGAATTCAAGTTCAATTAAAAAATAACATTCCATCAAGTTCCCATTAAATAAATACACTCATACTGAAGTACAATGTCACAATATGTATAATATTGTATATCACACTCATTCCTTTAAACCAAGGTTTTATTGTTGGCTCTTATCTCCTAGGCATCAGAGATTCAACAAGTAGAGACAGATGTCCACAGAGACAGATGTGCGAGATATGACAAATATTGGTTCGGAATGGAAGAAATAGCAAGTGGAGAAAACGAGGAAACATGAAAATCAATGTTTGGTTTATGATAGACGGAACTTGTCTCAACAGAAAACATATACTTGAATGGAAAGCTCATGAAATTGTGTAGTGTTGAAAACAAGCCCAAAATAACCAGCTTGACGTTTTTATAAAAGTCAAAGGAGACTATAAAGACTCTAGTTTAAGTAACCATGGCTCAAGGCAGGGAATACAACAGAAAGAAATAAAAGAATAGTGCTCAGTGTTGGTCTGCATTCAGCTTGGAACTGTTCAAAAGCTAGCAGAAATTCAAATAACAGACAGTAGCATGTTGTTTCATCAAAACAAGCATGGGATGGGGGGGATTTAGAAATTTACTACATAAAGCAGGGAGTTAGATGTAATATAAACAATGGCTACCCCTTTTAAAGTCATTTGCCAGACTGTGTTAAATGCTTTAAGGCATATTAAATTGCTCCTTCAGACAGAGACGGTTTTCACTTTAGACATAAGAAAAATGATGCCTTCAGATACCAAATGATTTGCCTAAAATCTCTGAACTAGTACTGACCTACAATTCTGACACTGAAGTCCACCCTCTAACCACTATACTACTCGCATAACGGACGCCATGGCAAAACTAGGAATGCCCCATAGACTGGCTAAAAAGGAACTTAAACGTCTTCATGTTTTCCTTCTAATTCCTTCCTACAGCAGGCATATCAAGGGTACTCCTACAGCTATCCCAGTACTGCTACCATGCCCACTAGACACATTGTTTTTAACCTCTCTTTTTACTTATTTGCATTTCATGTGCCTGTATGTTGGTGTTTTGCATGCATGTATGTCTGTGTGAGGGTTTCAGATCCTCTGGAACTGGAGTTTCAGACAGTTGTGAGCTGCCATGTGGTTGGTTGCTAGGAATTAAATCCAAGCCCTTTGGAAGAGCACCCTGTGCTCTGAACTAATAATCATCTTTCCTGCTCCTAGATACATTTTTTCTTTTTTTGTGGGGGGGGGGGTTCGAGACAGGGTTTCTCTGTGTAGTCCTGCCTGTCCTGGAACTCACTCTGTAGCCAGGCTGGTCTCGAACTCAGAAATCCACCTGCCTCTGCCTCCCAAGTGCTGGGACTAAAGGCGTGCACCACTACTGCCCGGCTAGACACGTTTTTAGAGCTGGGAATCTTATTCTTTTAAGGTTACTTTCAGGAACCATACAGCATCCTTAATGAGAGTTGAATTAGCTTTATTTTTAAAAGCACTGGGATTTTTTAGCTTTAAAAGATTTTGGGTTCTGATATAAGTCTAAGGAAACATTTAATACAAGTGAAAGTCAGTTAACATGTACGAAATAGGCTTGTTCTTTAACTGCGTATTTGATATTCTCTGTTGTCAGGCACCAGGAACAAAGATGGTATTTTCTAAACAGTGATGTTATACAACTGAATCTACTTTATTGCTGGTTTTATCTCTCCTTGAATAGCTGTAAACTACTTAAACAGAAAATGATTGTTGCGTAGCCTCTTGTAATATTGTGCTCCCTAAAGACAAGTAATATCCATAACTTCAAATAGTTTTGGTTGAATAATACATGATCTTCAAAGTCTTATGACAACGGACTGTGTTCTGGTACAGAATCCCTCCATCACCTTTGCTGCCCTCTACTCACCAACAATACAGTTATTCTTAGAGCCCCTAAGATAGATAGATAGATAGATAGATAGATAGATAGATAGATAGATAGATAGATAGATAGATATGGCAGTGATTAATATTTTCCAATTTCTTGGGAAATTAAAATCAAGACATTACACTCAAGCACACAATAGGGAAATTTTGTAACGACAGAGTGATTTTACATTTGCTGGTTTGTATTTTGGCTTGGAACTTGCTGTAACTGAGGATGAACTTGAATTCCTGATCTTCCTGCCTCCACCTCCTAGGTACAGGAATTACAGGGTAATATTTTTCTTTTTTTTAAATGACAAACTGGATTTTAGATGTTATTTAAAGGGGAAAAATGAAAAAAAATTAAGTTAAAATTATTTGAAAAAATAGTAAGATTTTTTTTGTTTGTTTATTTTTGTTTTTCAAGACAAGGTTTCTCTGTGTAGCCCTGGCTGTCCTGGAACTCACTTTGTAGACCAGGCTGGACTCGAACTCAGAAATCTGCCTGCCTCTGCCTCCCAAATGCTGGGATTAAAGGCGTGCGCCACCA